TCTCTCTCTCTCTCTCTCTCTCTCTCTCCCTCTCTCTCTGTGTGACTGTGTATGTTTGTCAGGGGCGGCTCGTGGGGCTCAAAAGTGGGCGTGCACAATAAGCTGTAGAAAGCTATTCAAGGGCATAGTAAATGGGATGGTAAGATTTTTGAGTTGTTGAAGGAGGATCTTATGCTTTTATTTAAATATTTTCTTTATTTTTACCGGTGTCTTTAATTTCTTGAACTAAATCTGTTTGTTGGCTGAATATCAATTTCTTCATCCTGCATTGGAAGTGAACACTTAATTAATAATAATAATAATAATAATAATAAATAGCATTTGTATAGCGCATAAACCCGCTCGACAGCAAGCTCTATGCGCTTTACACTATATTATTACCCCAGCAGACCATAGAACACTCAGAGACATTCTCAACGTCCTGGGAAGCATACAGTGCAAGCAGCTGATTAAGCGCTCAAACACTAACAAACTGACAAGATCTTTCACTGTCTATAGCTGGGTACCCATTCCCACCTGGGTGAAGTGAGGAAAACTCGTGTAATGTGCCTTTCCCAAGGACACAACGTCGGGTCCCTGGCAGGATTCAAACCAACGACCTTACGGTTGCGAGCCCGAGAGCCTAACCACTAGGCCACCGACGCCACTACAAAACTTTTCAAGGGCACAACTCATTGGACGTTGACTTAAGTCTATCATGGTCACCTCCCTCAGGTTCACGGTCACAGAGTCACTTAAAATAGTGGCAAGACAATGAACCAATCACAATCCACTTGAGCTCTCCGTTGAATTGCGTTTATTTTTAGACTGCCTACTGTGCTGTGGGCTATGTTTCGTGGGTGCACTTTAACTTTTGAGAAATGCCGTCTTATTAATATTAATGGCTGCTTAACTTGCTACGAGTGTCGTCATCGCTTGGGTTATCCCAAAGAGCGATTTATAGGTCAGGTTGCCGCTGTTGAATATCCTACTATGTTTAGTTAAAGTGCGTGGACTTTGGCATGGCATAGTAGATGTTTTACGTCGCTATAGACACAGAAATGGCAGTAACGGCGCGAACGAGGACCTTGTTTTGATTAGTGTTTGGCTAGTGTTTGTTTCTGGCTTCTTTTATTTCATGTCTGTGGGTGCTTTTCGTAATAGAACATTAGAAAAATTTGGGCGGCTCAGCACGACCGTGTTCTATGGACAAACCGCTCCTGATGTTTGTATATTATGTGAGTGTTTGTGCATATGTATATGTGCATGTATGTGTGTATGTATGAGTGTGTATGTGTATGTGTGTATGTGTGTATGTGTGTGTGTGTGTGTGTGTGTGTGTGTGTGTGTGTGTGTGTTTTCGAGTGCATTTGAGCATTGTATGCACGGTGACCTTTAACCTAACAATGTCTGTGTAACCCTCACCTGTCATCG